CCTCCTGGAGGGAGCAATCTATTTCAGCAACAATAAGGGAAAATCAGCTTCATTCATGAAGAAGGGGGCAATGGGGAGGAAGGGATGGCTGTTTGTTAACGTTGCCTTAAGCTAAACATTAATGAAGTGCAACACTTAAGATGCTTGTGTGCCTCAATTATGTCCACCAAGTTCACATGTTGCCTTTCCAATTATGTAGGCTAAAAAATGAGGTACGTGCGAAGAGACTGGTGCCTGCTCATTACCTGTCTCTGCGAGTAGTATTTCTGCTTGCTTTCAGCCGCTTGGGCGTCAGGTGTATTTGCATCCCCGGGGTTTCAAACAGCAACGGCCGAACAGTGCGAACGCGGTGCAGGGACGGGATTGTTGCGGAAATGGATTTTAAGCAGGGAATTAACGTGTGATGTGAGCAGCAAGCCGGGCTGAGCGCCGGAGGTGTTGTTCTGCAAACAGGGAGGTGAAGCTCGGAAAGGCTCAAAATGTTGTCTGGTGTCTGAGGGTGTTGCTTACTGACTGGCGCTGACCTTGAAGGAAGGGACCGAGAACTAGCCAGATACGTGATCGCATTACGAACGTTAGTGATACTTTTCGAGTAGGACTCTGCTGCTCCTTCTGCAGAAAGCTCAACCTTTCCGTTTCTGATCATCCTGTTAGGTTATACAACACATCCTTGTAATGTAAACCAAAAATCAAATACGGTTCAGAAAGTAGTCTCCTTTTTATTGCACTAGACACACATTATCTAGTGGCTAGATAATAATTTTGGAAACCAGAAATTGTTTTGTTTACCCAGTCCATTTTTATTATTATCATTAAGTGGAAAAAAAGTGACAGACAAAAATTCCTTCAAATTTGTGCAATAATAACATAGCAGAAATCAGTGAATGAAAAAAAAAAACAAAGACAGAGTAGCAACTCAAATGGTATAATATTAAACTTCACTTAAGGAAGAAGATTAGAAGTTGACACTACCTCTAAAAAAACTCATATATAGGCTGGCTGCTTGTAGACTGTTGCAAGTTTTGAAGGATTGATTATAAATGTTACAGCTAGTTCCAGTAATGAAGATGCTCTCTGGGTCCAAGAGTGACTAACTCAATTGCACCATTTCCCTTCTGAAGTCCATTTGAAGGAGACTTGGAACTTGTTTCGGAAAATGTTATTTTGGTCGTTCTGGAACACTTTTACATTTCTGACAGCAAATCAGTGCAGTTTGTCACTAAATGCTTCTCTGCCACTACAAAGGGGCTTCAAGCGTGCAGATCCTAAGACTGAAACCTGCCCTGCGAGGAAAGGGTGTGCTACTTGGTGAGAGTCGCTGGCTCACGTGAGGCTTCCCCGGTGGCTCAGGCGAGTTTGGGGCTGCTTGTGGTGACTCCAGGAACAGGATTAGTAAATAATCCTGCTCTGTCTGTTGTCTGGGTGAGGCAGATGCCTCTCCACCCAGACAGATTTCAAGTCACTCCTCTGAGGGTTTTTAGACCCTAGCAGGAAGCAATACCATTTTGTGACCACCAAAGTGATTTGCACCCTGCAAACACAAAGGTCCTTTGGTCACGAGGCCGAAAGACAATGGCGTGGATGTTGGTAGCCAGCATTGTCATGGCACGTGCTCCCTCATGCTCGGATGCTCTCTCCTCCCCTTTCTGGCTGGCTACGCGCTCATGTACATCTATATGTAACTTGATCTCTGTCCAAGGAAAATAGATTTTTCCCAGTACTAAATCTGCAGCTCCCTCCTGCTAACGCTGTGTCAAAGTAGGAGCACATGGAACAAGTTGTGGCAGGGTTAGCTGGGGCGTGAACTTGCAGCACGCCAGCTATTCGGCAGATGAAATATCGGCATGCACAATTTTCCCCTGCGGTCAACACGACACGCTTCACCTCCCTCTGAAATTCCTCTTAGCGCGTACCTGGGGTATGGGCCGTCGGCCGAGCAGCAGAGCTGTGAGCTCGTGCTCCAGCTGGCTCCTGTGCGTGCCCAGAGCGAGTGCTGGGCTCCAGGGAGGCGGCTGTGCCTGCGGGGCACTGCGGGAGCGCAGCCGCTTTATGGAGGCGGCAGCCGACGAACGGAGGAGTGATGCGATTTATTTGGGCTGAAGGGATCACTTTTTTGATCTTGAATGGGTGTTCGGATTTCAAGCCTGGAAAGCGGCACCTCCTTGGCCTTGTAAAAACCAAAAGCCGCACCGCAAAAAACCACACAAAAACCCACAAAAAAAATCCTGAGCCAAAGCAAAGCAAACCTCACGGTCCAAAAACCCACCAGATTTTAGCGTTCAACCTTAGTCATTTTTTCAAATGGACTTAAGAGTACCAGCGGGCATCTGCGGTGAAATCCGAAATGGATGCAAATGCAAATTAACTGGAAGAAGTTCCTCCTAACCAGGGTACTTCCCATACCCCTTCTTTCCTTACAGAGCCAAACATTTCACTAGGCTCCTATGAAGTAAACCCAAGTCACCTCCCAAAAGTTAGGGTAACGATTCACGTCACATTGCATAAGGCTACGGAACAAAGTATGTGTCCACGTCCATGTACAATTTTTACACCAGAGCCCTCCCATCCGCTATATGTCCCTGTGAACAAGATTCTGTACTTCCAAAGTTCATAAAAATATACAATTTACCCAGAACTGCATCTATCCTGCTCACTCCCTGCCTGGGGCTTAGACTTCTTTATCGATATATAAAATACACTAGCCCTGTGAAGTTGCTTTGCTGAGAGCACAGTGGTGATTTCTGCAGTGAAGGGACAGCCTCAGAGGGTCGGGTGTGCCTGTGCATCACGGTACCACCCGCATCCGGTAAATTCCGTTTTGCACAAAGCCTGCACGCCGCAGAGCCCCCGGGCCCCTGCAGACCCGGCGCAGAGGGCTCAGTCCCACCCGCGTCGCGTTAGCGAGGCACAGGTAACCGCGAGCGTCGCTTCCGAGCGCAGCGTTACAACAAAACGCTTTGCCGGCAACAGGCTGAGCTCCATACGAGTGTCGGTGGGTCACGGGTACAAAGGAGCCTTTCGGAGCAGCCAGAAGTGGCCTATCCCCCCGCTGATGCCCGAAAGCATCCAACCTTGGGACTTCTGCCGGATGTAAAGTGGTTACAAGGGTCCCCCTCTTGGCATTTCTCGTCCAGATAGAGATGCGAGGTGGGCTAAATTCTACTCGTCGTACTGGAGCAGGATCTAGTCTGGGGGAGTAAAGTAGCTATATTTAAGCAATAGGAATTCTCACCAGAGAGGTACCACCTTTCTGGGATACTACACTGTAGTTTTCAGTTACCTGTGCCAGAAATATTTCCTTAATAAGGAAGGGGCTCAATATGCTTCATCTCCCCTTTTAGGAAGGGGTTCAATACCCTTCATCTCTGCTTTTAGGCTTTCTTGCCTCTGTGTCAGATTCTGGTCTCTCTACGTAGGTGTAATTCTAGACAAATTGAACTATACATGCTGGGTTGATTTATGCAAACTTTTTACTCCTGACCAGCACCTGACCCACTAACAAGATAAAAATATATTGCAACTCTGCAAGCTTGCTGCTACTTAGAAAATCTGGTTATAGTTTGGTCCCAGCTTTCAGGAAAAAAACCTGTCACTGGGAACAAAAACACCAGTAATGGAAAATAGAGTTAGCATTTCTGTAGAGTATCAAACCATACAGAACTTCAACTTTTTATACATTTTCTGTATGTGAAATTGAATGGATCAGTCACGTATCAAAACATAGTTGGCCTCTCTCATTTCATCTGTAGGAAGACTGCAATTATAACTTAATTTACACAGCAAAAATACTTTTGGTTTAAACAAAGACGACAGTGTGACAAGACAGCGTGCTGTATTTTACCGGCGCGAAGCTTTGCATATATAGAGCACGGACAGGCGTGACCCGTGAACATCCGCTCGTGTCGTCACTCTCGGCTTGGCAAGTAGCTGGGTTCGTGGTGAGATTCACATTTGGCTATCACAAAAAAAAGCTCGAAGTGGTAACCAGACACATTTCTACCACTTGGCTCCCTAGTGCCAAGTCTACTGGCAACGTGAGGTGACTAGTGATGGGAAAATAGTAAGTATGCCTATATGTATGTTGCTTCGAAAGCTGAAGGTACAACTACAGCTACTTTTAGGAAGTGCTAATGAAGGAGGACTGAATCCCTGCTGTAAACTAAATCAATTTAGATTTTTAGTAATTACAGCTCTGTACAACTGTGGAAAATCTGCACGCGAAGCTGTTTCGCAGTTGCGCACAGTGGAGGCTCCCCCTTCCGTCCCACTGACATAGCAGCATCTTCGAGCAGCTCCGCAGAGGAAAGGTGTCCTGACTAGCTGGGAAGCGTGTTTCAGGGTGTGCGCTTTAACTTCAGGTGGTGGCAAATTTTTTCCGTGACGTTGTCGATGTGAACTACAGATCAGTCAGGGCACGCGCGATGGGCACAGTCAGCAGCTCGGTAACTGCAGGTGCCCTCCGAAGGGGTGTGTGCAGCAGCGGGAGGGTGCGGTGTGTCGTTGCTGCACCCCTCAACGCGAGGGTGAAAACTGCAAAGCCTGGGCGCTTGCGCAGCGCTGCGAAAGGATGCTGCTGCCCGGGGGTAACCTCTCTCCTGCGGGCAGAGCCCCAGAACCCCTCCTGCTAGCGGCCCGTGGCGCGTCACGCCCGCGCGTGAGGGTTTGCGCGACCCTCGGCATTTTGGTTTACAGGTACGGCAGCAGGAAGCTAAGCTCATATACAAAGTATGTGCTGCGGTATCTTCGCTTGGGCTCTGAGATTGCTGAAAGATTGCGTCTTTTAATAAGGGGGAAAAAATATGTAAAAATAAGGATTTTTATTATCATGGCAGGAACAATGGTGGGGATGCCGAGATACTACTGCCTTGCAAGATAAAGTGGCACATGTTCTACACAATATTGTGTACAATGTCTGATGGCTTTGGAAGTCTCTTCTCGAGCAGATTTCCCAATAAATTAACACAACAAAAATACTTTCACATAAAACAAAGTCCAAAGGATTTTTTTCTTAAAGTAAAAGCAAGACCTTCAGGGACTATATTACTTATCTCTCTCTACATATATAATCTCCTGAATTTTTTTTAAATAAATTTATTCTTGTCTTAGAAAAATAAAATGAGTAGCCAATTTAGTCAACGGAAAATATCTCACAGACTTAAAAGCATGCCCAGCAAGCATAGCCTTGTAAGACTAAATTAATGTTAAACCAAAGCAATTTGTTACTAAACCAACCTAGTCTGCAATTCACAGTTGATTACTACAAAGTGTATTTTCAAATTTTTTTTGGCCCATATAAAAATAACATATTGCAACTCAAAGTGCATTTTTAAAATAAACAATCAACTATCTTTATCAAATAAAATATTTACACCATTTGGTTTTTACAGTCAGAAATGCGCTTCATGCGATGACCATGGGAACATCATCTGAAAATCCAGTTATCATTGGGGCTTCGTCATCCTCATCTCCTGAAAAACAAACCCAGAGCTCTGTTACGCTGCCCTCAGCGTTTCACAGGGCACGAGTAAAGCGGCTACCAAGCTGGCCACAAAGCTGCCCTCAAAACCAGCATATTATGGCCTCACTCGGGCTCTTACCTGGTTGTTAGATCTGTTATATTCAGGTTTTAACTCATTTGCATTTGAAGGAGTGGTTTAAGTGAAGCTACTAAAAACATTTATCCCGGGCCAGCTTTGCACTCTCAGAAAAGGAACAAATCCACAGAGATTTTTATTCCCAAAGTGCTCAAAGCACGACGGAGAAGTTAGGTCTTGCACTGACTTCATGTTCTTAAGGGTGTGCGTGAAACCAAGGGCTACGTACCTAAATCGTCTCCCGAGGAGAAAATGGCCGAGCCCAGGCGGGAGCTGTAGTGGCTGTTTGCGAAGGCAGTGAAGCTGTTCTGCAGCCGTCTGTGCCTCATGTACAGCACCACGAAGCCAATCCCGAGGGTCACCAGCAGCAGGAACAGCACCGGTACCACGATGGCAGCGACATCTGTGGATCTACTGGTTTTTGATGCAGAGGAGTCTTCACCTAAGAGGAGGGAGGGAAAGAAGTGCCTCTGATAGCAATTAGGTAGCACATTTCTCGAGCGAGTTTGTAAGGCTTTTGTTAGTCTTTGCCAAGGAGGATGGGGAAAATGCCGGGGACTTACCAGTTCCTAGTTCATCATAGAGAAGCGTGGCTGGCTCGCCACACATCTGCCCGCTGTACAGGCACCTGGCCTGAACGGTGAACGAGTAGTTGTGACCTATCTTCAAGTTGGAAACTTTGAAGAAGTTTTCTGTGGTGTTCCCGAGATAAGCCGTGATGTTCATCAAGCTGTCAAACATGTGAATCTCATAACCCTGAGAGTTGTGAAAACAAAAGACACAAACCCCAAATCACTCGGCTGCAGAGGTCAGGTTTGCTCCTTCTGACAGGGCTTTGAAACTTGCTTTATCTCCTCAATCTAGCTTTGATGAAATGTGTTGGGCTATCAGCCAGGAGAGAGCAATGTGGACCCTCCTCCAGGCAGCCCTGCCAGGGTGCATTGACCTTGGCCAGTTCAGGGAGGAGAGGAGGTTTCGGTCTGTCTGGTTCACTCTGCTCTTAGCATCCACCTGAGACCACCCAAAACACAGAGTCCGGCAACGGTGATGGCTTTTTGGCATAGTTTGCTCCCTGCCCAGGCCCCAACAGAGAACGTGTCACGGACTTTCCAACAAAGTCTAAATAACGACAATTCTCAGATGCTACCGATGTGATTCCTGGCACGTCCTATTTCCAGTCCTTACACATGTGTGACAGTTGACCTTTTTCAAGAGGATAATTATGTTTCTAAACGGTAGCCGATCGGATCTATCAGCTTTAGCGCCTCAGTCGTGGTACGAACGGAAGGGAGCTCTGTGTAGAGGGCTCATCAAGGACACTTAGGGGAGCAGAGCGTACCGCTGTGTTTCAAAGACTCTGTGAAAGGAGTCTTGTTGCTAGACTCTGCTCTAGGTTTTTCTGAAACACTGCCTGTAGGATGGGAGAGACAGTGCAACTTACCCGGCTTTCATTGAAATTACTTTCCTTTAATGCCAAACTCTTCCAAAAAAGCAGAATATGGTCACTTTCTGTTATAATTTTTAAGGCGTCCGGTGCAGACAGCGGAACTGCGAATGAGAAAAAATGGCAGGCAGGTTAGGTTTTAACACTGGAGACACCTTCCTTTTGGCTGAGAAACAGCAACGGGGTCGGTTTGAAACTTAGACTTTTTTAGGGATCAGCACAACACTCTGCGTAGAAAAGGGCTGTATTGGAAGAGAGGATACTGTGCCATGTAATCTGGTAGGAGATTTTCAGTGGGTTTTTACGGGTGGCCTGTTAACGGTATTTCATCGTGTCCACACAGCCAAACGGCTACCTTTCCCATCTCTGTCTAGGCAGGAGAAAAACTCCCCAGTTATCGTTTGAGAGGCTTTCCCTCTGCTGCTGCTGCTGTTCGGGGCTTTAATTGCCTTCCCGGGGAGCTGCAGGGAGGCCTCTTGGAATTGGGCTTTGGCTGCTGGAGAGGACTAAACACTGCAGAAACACTGCTACAGCCTCCCAGCAGCGCGGCGGTGGGATGGACGGCGTGCGGGACGGCCGCTGGATTCCCTCTAGTGGATGATGCTGCAAGGGCTTGCCCTGGCACCCACCCAAGTAGTACTCTTTTCTTTACCTGTGTTGATCTTCATGCTGGATTCTTTGCTCATGTTTCCCAGTTGAACAATCACGTGGTATTTGCCTCCCGGTTCAAGTTTCTTAATGGTGTACTCCACTGTGCTGTTCCGGGTTTTCACCTTGTAGATTTTATCCGTTTTTCTTACCAAGTCTTTGACTGCGACAGCATATAACTGGAGGGGGAGGAAAGGCATGCACAGTGAAAGACCTTACTTTCCCACGGACTTGCTAGCAATCTCATAGAACAGTAGGACATTAGACGCCGGGGGGACAAAATTTTAATTGAACCATGCCTGCGCTCTATAGAAAGCCTGAGAAGTTAAGATTTCAAGCCTCTTGCTGGACTGGCTGGATCCCTGCCCGAGATTAGTATTTACAGATACAGAACACGCAGTTACTGGAACAGATGAGGGCAGGAAGAAAATCTCAGGTTGTGTTTCTTAATGAATCACAAGGACGCAATGCAAGCTCCCACCCTGTCAAAGTTTCCAGTTTTGCCGGCAAGATTTACACCTTTGCTGTTAAAAGTCTCTGCACCAGAATAGGAACGGAAAGCTCGCTGAGAAAATGACTCGCCTTCAATGGTGCGAGACCCGACCGCACGCCAGCATGCCATGAAATAGAACCGGGCTTCGCTGGGGCTGCGCCTGTCCCGCTGTCCTGTGGGCTGCGCTCAGGTCCCGGCCAGCACAGGCTCCGGGGCAAAGCTGAAGCCCGGACACGTGTTTTAGCACATGCCCAAGTTTGCTCTCAGACGCAGCGAGCAACAGACATCCCAGACTTGACACTTTTTAAATGCAGTGTGACTGTTATAGGCCTGAGCTAACGGCTGGTAATGTGAAGAGAGGAAATGCAGTCCCTGAGATGTCAGCATCTTGACAGTGACTAGATGGAGAGCAGACCTGATCTCGGACTCAGTTCTCCATCGGCAGCAAGGGCGGGGATCTGTCTTTGAGCAGGGCTTTGTGTGCAAAGGGACGGGAGAAGGTGCTGTGAGATATTACCATGTCCTGGTCAGGAGAATCGTAGGGCGATTCCCACTTAATGACTGCGAATGTCTTTCCGGTGTGCACTGAGTGGAGGTGCCGAGGGGGAAGCCGGTTGTCAGGGATCATCTTCACCACGACGTAGTCGGACGGTGGCCCTTGGTAGGGAGCCATCACACGGACCTTGAAGGGATAACACAACGGTTAATGCTGTGCCTTCACGGTTCGGTAGAAAGCTACAGCCCGCAGTGCAGGTAGGAGCGGGAACAGAAAAGGAGCCTACCAGAAACAGGTATTGCTCGTCCCGCTGCACGAGCACAGTGATGTTGTGGGAGGTCGTGGTGGCGTTGTGAGGGCTCCTGTACAGCTCTAGGAAGGATGTGGCATAGAAGATGCCATAGACCTGCAGAGGAAGAGCACGACAGGGACGGTGCAGGGTTTGGCATGGCCCAGACACAGCTTTTGCTGGCAGTCACTTTTTAGGGACGTGAAGCAAAGACCCTTTTTCCCCTGGGCATTCTCTCTGGCCCAAGTTCAGGTCAGTCCGCCCATTTGTCTCCGCACTCCCCACTCTCAAATCCTGCTCTCAGCTTTGATAACACAGCAGTCATTGAAAGACCACTGGAGTATTGTCCTAGCTGTACTTCAGCCACGTCTCCACTGGATTAGTGGCTGAGCAAATAGACAACAAGAAGGCTTTCTTTGCTTCTGTTTACAGGGTAGCAGGTGCTTTCCCTTGTTTTTTTGGGCATAAAATTTTCAGGGCCTTGGAATTCAGTCCCAACAAATAATCCTGATTTTACATTTTGCTTGTGTTTTGAGGCTCTGAGCTAGACCCTGTCCTGGCTGGTGAGAAAAGAGAGTCGGTGCCTTACGACATTCCTCGGTCCGGTCCAGCTGCACTCCACCGCAGTCTGGTTGATGGCCTTGGCTTTGAGACTTGGTGATGCAGGTCTTGTTCCACTGGTCATGACATGTACAAAAGACAGAGGGCTGTCGCCCAGCTCCGTCTTAGCCCAAGCAGAAATTTCATAGGGGGTGTGGGCTGTCAAATTTGCCACTGAGCAAGAGAAGAAACGTGCACTATTAGGTGAGGCAAAGTACTGCAATGGCAGGGTGAGAGCACTAGGAAACGGTCAGCATCATCAAACAGTCTCAGACAGGAGCCTGTCTCTTTTGTTTGTGTGTTGTTAATTTTGAGTAATTTCCTTTATACAGAAGCACCTGGACCTAGGTATCTAACCTAGCCTGTGCTTTTCTGTATCGGGATGCTTTCCGATATCTAGACTGTGCACACCAGAGATTTTTCCAAACCAGAAACTCGATTAATAGGGACGTGTACTGTGTACAAGCCCAAGAAATGGTTGACCTTTTGCAGAGCACATAAGGAACCACAAACAAAATCCCGTGTGATGAGAAAAGGCTAGTGCAGCTCTGGGGGATAAATCTCAAATCTCCAAGTCCTAAAAACAGAGGCCAAGGATTCGCTAGTTTGTCCTCTCCAGATTTACTCTTTCCTAAACAGAAACTACTAGTTGGAAAAAAAAGAGGAGGGGGAAAAAAAAAAAAAAAGAAAAAAATCCTATAGCCTTCCATAAAACCTTCCGTTTGCTGTTGACTGAAGCCGAATTTTACAATTTGCACAGACTTTACCTTTCTGGATGGACTTTTCTCCTTCTATGGTCAGAGTTCTTTTCTCCTGCCTGTGTGTATCAAATGTCCAGTAGATGTTCACAACGTAACCGCTGACCTGTCAAGCAGCAAGGGCACACGACAGGAACTATCAGTTCAGCTGTTTTTGCGTGCAGCGGAAGAGTCACCGCTGAAAGTCGGTGTGTTGTATTTGTATTTGCCAGCCTAACGAAGAGAGCTGGGGCGGTTTATGAGTAGTAAGAAACGATCTGGCGTGAAATAACTGCTTTCAAAAAGTAATTGCAACAGTTAAATGGGTGACAGTATTTACCCCATCCAGTATTTACCATTTACCCAACACAGGCCTTTTAAAATTTATTTTAGTTTCAGAAGTAAAGGTAAAAATGTTACCTTGATATTAGTAGTCATTTTTAGGCTGAAACTTATGGAGTCCTCGCCATAGCTCTCAATGTGTATGACAGGTGGAGGAATGACTAGAAGGAAAGAGAGAAACAGCTGTTACCGCAGCACAAAGAAATACAAATACTTATCGAGAGGGGAGAGGTAAAATACAGGCTTTCACTGTGACAGCCAGCTCTCAGACCGGCAATCTCCCATCCTTCCAGCCCCAATCTTGCCTGTCTCTAAAACACGTGTCCCTCGGAGAAGACACTGATGTGCTGTACCTCCATTATTTTTTCAGTCAACTACCTGAAAGCTGCCTCATCTGTGCCTTGCTCAGCACAGGCTGGAAGCAGAGAGGTCTGGGCAGAGGTGTTTTACTTCTGAACTCAGTGGGGCAAGCTCATATCCCAGTTAACAGCTTCTGGCCTTCCGAGGAACTGGTGCGGGAGGTCGGGAGCTATCGGTGGCGACAGCTGCCAAACACTCGTGCAAAACCTGAAGCGAAAGCTATTACCTTTCTTTTTACCTCTGGTTTTCTAACCATCGGGTACTCATGTACTTCATATTATCTGAATCCTGCAATTTTAGTAGCATGGTGTTTTCTTTCCTGCCTTTGTCAACATAGTGAGGATGCGCCTTTAGCTAACAAATTAGCAGACAATTTTGACATCAGAATACAGGTTTGGAAGGAAAACTTGACATGAATACAAATGATTTCAAAAGGCTTTTCTAAACACAGTTCGGAGGGAAACGATTTACTGTGTTTGAATTTATCTACTGTCAGATTGTAACGCCGTGATAGCTCCTGGGAGCCTTAGTGATCCTTTAGCGGTCTGACCTACGTGAGATACAGAAACCATCACAATCATAACCTAAGAGGGAGAAGAAGGAGCAAGTATCCTTTCAGCCAGTGACAGCAAAGGAGTTAGCGGTGATGTGCCTCGCCTATCTGAAGGTAGGATCTAGCCTGCACAAGTCAGCGGGAACCCATCTGCTGCCTAGGAGAAAGGGGCACCTTCTGGACAGGCTTCTCGTCCAGGGCAGGACATCCATCCTACGTGGCACAGAGTTCAGAGGAAGAGTCAGCGACCCATTCAGACTTGCCACTGAACTTTGAGGCAGCTCCAGTTAAGCAAAATGATACAGCAAAGTTGTTAAATAGTGTAAAACACTCGATGGGGAAGAACAAAGGATGAGGAGGTGGTTACGCATGCCGATGCTAACACTTCAGGCTTACATTCTGCCTTTTTGTTTTGTTGTCCGAGCTGACAGAAACAACAACATTTACCTTTGCCTTTTATGGTGGTTATGGATTTGGAATCGCTCCAATTTCCCACTCCTCGACTAGTTACCGCAGCAACCTTTTCAAATAAGAGGGTTAGTTAATATGAACAAATGTACGCTGCCAACATTGTACAATGCAAACCGAGAAGGAGGTTAGAGCAAGGTTACGGATGTGGCAGAGCTCACGGGAAAAGACTTTGGAGCAAACAATAGCTTAATTACTTGGCAATAAAATGCTTATTACAGAGATAAAGCAAACTAAGTCAATTAAAGGAATCTTAGAGGAAGGAGGTGCATCCTCTTTGCAGAGAACTGCTCTCTTATGAGATCTTTATGAGGACTCCATCAAGATAAGGAGCTTTGGACTCTATCGGATGTAGTGTAGGTAAGAACCACGCCGGTGAAGTCCACGCGAGCACTGAATCTAGTTCCAAAGATTTATTTGGGAACAGACTGGTACGGGAAGGAATACCAAGGAAGAAATTACTTGCTCCAACAGACTGTGAAAATAACACTGATTCATGGGGGGTGTGGGGTATTTATCCCACCTCCCGGTGAAGTCCCCCAAGAACCCACGGTCATTCAGCACAGCGAGGATGGACAATGGCAGAGTATATGTTTCCCAGGGCTCACTGCGCAGACTTTCATTTCCTATTCTTATTACTTCTGTCTATAATTACCCAGCTTCTCCCATGTGCATACATTCCCCACAGGCGGATCTGCTTCTCTCCCCAGTGATACGGTAAGGACCAAATTTATCTCTGGCCCAGATCCAGTCCAATTGCAGTGACATTGGAATGGGCAATTAGTAGTGCGGATTTCAGAACGCAGCCTGGCCTTCTGGGAGACAGAGCAAATCAAGGGCCTTAATTCAGGCCTTGAAACTACGAATGTAAGCAGTGCAAATGCCGAGCCCCCATTGTGGGTTGATGTTAAAGGGCAGGATTTTAACAGCATACTTTTTTAGCAAATACTTGACTGTGCAGGACTTAAACCATTCAGCGAAAAGTAATGAGGGCATGCATAGATCAGCTTTGAAAATACTCACTCTAACTGTGTATAATGTGTTGACCTGCAAGTTCTCGATCTCGGTGTAGTTCTTGGTGGTTCTAAGGGATGACCACTCCTTGGATCCACTCCTGCTGTATTCCACCTAGGAACAGGAAAACAAGGGATGAGGGCTCCACAGTCAACAACACCGTGGGGTGACAGATCCCTCTGTGTCAAAATGCCAGCAGAAAGAAGTACAAAAGCTTAGAAAGGGAGCCAGAAATGAAATTATGAACTTGAGGGCTGTGTCGCTACCTACGGCCCTGCAGCATTTCTTCTCCCAACGTGCCTGATGCTCTCAGCAGATTTCCTCTATGAAACGCCCTATTCCTGGCCCACCCCTCTCCGCAGAGACAGCTGTATTCAGACAGGCCAGCCCATGCTGCTGTGAGCCCCCAGAAGCCTCCCCGTCCCACCGCCGATCTGGACTTGGCCTCGCTGGGCAGCAGGACTCACGATGAATTCCCGTATGAGGCCGTGGGCGTTCACGGGGGGACTCCAGCAGCCCATCACCACGCCCTCAGCTTCTTTTTTGAGGGACAGCTGGAGGTTAAAGGGAGCATCTGGTACTAGGGAGAGAAACAGAGGTGTTAGTGGCAGTTGCAGCTGTGTGTCCAGATCACACGGGGAAAAGCAGGGTCTCCCTGAAAGGCTGGGACAAAGCGGGGATTCCTGCAGTAGTGTCCCAAGTCCCTTTCACCTCCCTCTGGAGCAATGAAGCAGTTTCTGTAACTGTGGTGAAGCCAAGATTTTACTAAGCTCTTTGCTTTATTTTGCATTCCTTCCCTGACCAGACCTCCACGCTGCAGCTAGAAAGATCTTGCTCCTCGCATGCGGTACTGAACAGTCCCGCAGGCTCAGCGCTGCACAGTGAGAATGACCAACAATACTAAATCACTAAGTCACGGGCAGGTTGGTGACTCAGGACTGACTCTAGGCAGGAAACCCGCAGCCCTTTTTCCCAGTCCAGCATAATTCCCAGGCCTGTGGAAAGACTCCTTTTGTTCCTAACAGGGACGCCTCTGCGGTATCCGCTTTCTAAACTGAAGCGGCATGCTTCGGTCACCGATACAACCGTGCAGGTCTGCTTACATCCTTCGGGTGCCCGGAGGGTGATGAAGTCGTTGGTGTTGTAGACTCGGCTGAGACACTGCACTTGGACTTTCACTTGATAGGTACAGTCAGGCTTGAGGACTTTCAAAACACTGTTGGTTTTGTTGCTATGGGTTTCCAAAATCTTCCAAACGCTTTCCCCCACGGTCCTGCATGAGAGAGTCACACCCCTCCAGTCAGGACAGTGTTTAGTAACAAAGGGTGAAACTATCTATCTGTATATTAAGAGCTGTCTGCTTGGTTTTCTTTTCTGTAAAGCCACACCGCCAGCTTGAAAAGATGCTCTTTGAAAGCCTGAACTAAACACAGCTTAGTGACTTAGTGACATCGTCCTATGAAGTTTTCTATAACTGCTGTGCTCTAATTTCTTGACTTTGTTCTCGTCATTAGCAGTCCCAAAGACGAGGCCCGAGTGAAAAAAAAAAACCCCAAATATAGCTACATTACTGTCTGAGTAAACAATCACGGAGGAAACAGATACAGCTTTTCATAAGAGGCCCCTAGTTACAGGTCTTTTGGGTCTCCTTTGCAACCAAGTATTAGAAGATTTTCTAGGCAGAAGCAGATTGCGCAGCTCTCGGTCTCTCAGGCCCGATTCCGTACGGTACGCTGCTGTAAACGCGGGCGCGCTGGTACCTGCGCTCGCGCTCCTCCTAGCCTTTACCTGATAGGAATAGCAACGGGCCGTGCAGCGTAATGGGCGTGTACCTGTAATAGATGTTGTAGACACAGGAGGTCGAGGACATTCTTTTTGGCCGAGCCCACGTCAGAGTGACATCGCCAGAGAAATCGGCCGTCCACTGGAGGTTCTGGACTTTGTACACGATTGTGTCATCTAAGCAGGCGATGGGAAAAGTTAGTCTATCGGTGGGAAACAAGCCCTTTGCCCAGAAGAGAAACAGGAGTTCTGTTCGTAGCACAAACAACATGTGGAGGTCAAAACAGTAGTATGACCAAAGGGAGTATCTGCACCATTCAAATTAGATGTGCAGCTTAGGTGGGCATTATCAGTGGAGAAAAGCGGGCTCATCAGAAGGCAATTCAGAGCAGGAACATACCCCTGGTGCTCTTAGTTCTCCCCAAAATGTCTTGGTTGCCTGTATGCTGCATCATGCAAGCATGCCCTTTCCCCTAAGGAAAGATAAAGCGTGGCTGTGTATGAAATACTCTTCAGTATGGTTTTGGAAGTGTACAAGTGTGAACTGATCAGTGCAAGCTAAGTCACTCTTCTACTTGTGCGATGAAGCTGTGCGGTCACTGTAAGCCGCCCAGGGCCTGCCTTTGCGTGGTCTTCCTTAGCACATCTCGCGTTCAGCAGAAGGACCCAAGCGAAGGCTGGTAATTAAGGCAACAGTCCGGGGACTGCCTTGACGTGAGCTCTG